AAGCTCTGTTGCTGGTGGTGTGGTTTTGGTTTTCTCTCTGGACTGCCCTGAGGGGTGGGGCTTCCAGGCCGAGGATGGAGGCCGCCCAAGAACGCTTTCCGGGAGCCCCTGGGGCCCTGCAGGCTTCATGAGGGTGGGGACAGGAGCCAGCCAGAGGGTCCACAAGGGGCATGCGGGTAGGGCGCTGGGGAGAACCCAGATGACACTTGCCCCAAGCGTGGCAGGAGCGGCGGGAGCAGACAGCAGGGGACGCAGGGCTGAGGGAGGGTGTATTTGACTCGGAACTGAGCATGTTGCCAACTGCCACAGTCACAGAAAGGAGATGGGTGGAGGGTGGAGAGAAGGCAGGAGCTGGGGCGCCCCCATAGCTCCCGCAGACCCTGTCCATCCTCAGTTCAGCCCCAGCCAGGGCATCACTGCCACGCACCTCAGCACGGACTCCACAAACACTCTGAGGGCCTTCACGTGGATCCAGGCAATGAAAGCTTCGCTGAAGTTCACCTTGAGCCAGCGCAGCAGGGGGCCCTGAAAGGACAGAAGAGCCCGGTGACCCCTCCTGGCCACCCCGCCCAACACAGAGCCAAGAAAGGACTTGGGTTTTGACAGAGCACGCCCTGAGCTGAGAAGAAGTGCCCAGGAGCCAGAAGCAGAGAGTTGGTTGGACCAGCCCTGGGTCAGGCTCAGGACCTCGAGGTCCAGGGCGCCTGGTGCCGGGGAAGCTCAGCAGGCCAGCCACCCGGTGCATGCACGGGGCCACCGCAGACCGCAGCACGGGGAGCTGGGCAGCCCCTGACCTCGGGGCTTTCAGCAGGCAGCCAGGGGCTTCTGCCTGACACTGCACAGCCAGGGAGTCCACCTTCTCAGAGGCTCTGCCCCCAGGGTCCTGGCATCAACCACAGCAGCGCCTCCCCTCACAGCCCCACCTCACGTGGCCACAGCAGCAGCCACTGATACTGGTGTGGCAGGTCCTCCTGGGAGCTCAGAGTCTTGAAGCAAGAGCTCCAAGCTCCGGCCCGACACTGCAACTGCCCACAAAGGTCAGGGGTGGGTTCAGCAAGGGCAGCCAAGGGAGGAGAGCTGAGCTGCTGACCACCACCCCAGCCAGGGCCCTGCTTGTCCCAGCTCCAGCCACCTCCAGCCAGGGGCCCGGGGAGAGGCGCCCTGGCCGACAAGCACCCTTCACTCCTGGCGGAGGCAGCTCCAAAGAGGCCCTGCAGATTAGGAGGAAGGCATGATTCTGGCTCCTCAAATTTAAGACCTCAAAAGCCATGTTAGAGAACAGAAAAATGCAAGGATTCATTTTCCCAGAAGGCGCCTGAGCTGGCGAGGAGATGCGAGCCAGGGACCCCGGGGTTCCCGGGGCGTTGCTTACCTCACCCTCGCCCTCACTCTCTCTCTCTCTGTCGGTCTGCCCCGCAGCGGGCCTATCAGGGTTACCTAGCGGGGTTACCTTAACCTTGTGGTCCGGGAAGGTGGATGATCCCTTTTTAAGAGCAACACAGGAAGTTTGCTAAAGGCACAGAAATGATTTATTAATCTTTCAGCAAACATGCATCACAAACAAATAAATCATTCTCATCGCCTGAAAGGCACGCGAGAACAAGCTCAGGAATTCAGGCCCACCCTCGAGACTCGCGTGCTGGCTAGACTAGAGATGTGGTAGGCGCTCGCCAGGCTCCCAGAGTGGTGAAGGCAGAGGGAGGGGCAGCGTTAAGGCCTTTGGGTTCCATATTCCAAGCACAGAGCCAATCTCTGGCAGAGGGGTCAGTCCTGAGCCTCCTCCCCTTGCTTGGGCTTGGCCAGGACCCCCATCGCAGGCCGACCAGGACAGCACCGGGAGGCATTAGTGGAAACGGCTGTCTGCGCTCTGTCAAGGTGGCTCCACCGTGCCCAGCCACAGATGCCTTCCTGGCATTCGGGGGGCACCTCGGCGTGCACAGTGCAGGAGATGAGTTGGGCATGCATTTAGGACACTCACCCTTTCCCATTCTGTCTCTGCAAACAGGTGGGAAACAGGGAAATCCCACTTTGCTCTCAAAGTACACTCAAACCCAGGGCCTGGCCTGTCCCTCTGGTTGACGAGTGACAAAAAGGATGCAAGACTTTTGGTCATGCACTTCTAGATAGGCCAGAGGGACCAGATTCTCAGGAGGCCAGCGGGGCTGACCCAAGCTGAGAGTGCCTCCACCTCCCGCCCACAGAGACCCTGGCAGGGCCCCCAGGGCAGTGTGGGCAAAGGCTATGCTGCGTAAACTACGCCAGCTGGGAACCTGAGCCACATGTGGCAGGTGGCAGGCTCCTGTGTGTCACCCTGTTCCCTGCGGATCTGGCAGGCCCAGGTCAGTGCCCAGGTGGGTGCCAAAGGCCCTGCTTCGCCACCTGTCCCCAGCAGGGCCTCCCAACGTGGAGGCTGCCATGGTCTAGCCCCATCCAGAGATACTGTGCAGGGGGGTGGGACCAAGACTGAATCGAGCTGGGAAAAAGCCTGGCTAAAGAGAACAGCCGGGGCATGCCCAGGTAACGAGGGTTTCAGGTGAGCTGAGGCTAAGGAAGGAAATGCTTTGGAGCTCAGCTTTCACTGGGGGAAATCTCTCCTGCCTGGTATCTGGGTCTGTGGGCCCTGCTCTGAGGACTGGAGCACCCAAAGGGCCAGGGGTCCCCAGCTCCAGCTCGGGTCCTTGTCCTCAGGGGGGGACACCCACCCCACAGGCTCAGCTGGAGCCCAGCAGCCTCTGGCTCTGAGGCGTGTCTCACTTGCTGTGCACACACATGTCCACACACACACACACACACGCACACACACACGTGTGAGCGCCCTGTGCTTCTGTTTTGGGGAAGGAGGGTGAAAAATCCCTATATAAACGTTTATATTATCAGCTCTTGTTTCCTTCCTAAAGGGAAACAGACCAGACCAGAAGGGCTCTGAGAACCCCACTATGGGGGCTCCGTGACTCGGTTTGCTCGTGAGGGGGTGCTGCTCATTTCCAGTCCCTGCGAAAAGGTCGCTAGGTCGCTGACAGAGAGGTCAAGCCCCCAGGAGCCCGGAGTACATACTTGAAGGGACGGACACCGGGAGCACTCCCTGCCTGCCTGTGGCCATGGCACTCCTCCCCACGGAGGTCCTCACAGCGCCGTGTTCACACAGCGACTGCCCCCCAAAGGCCTCAAGAACATTCTACTCATTCCTCCCGCCCCGTCACTAGAGGCTGGACTGGAAGGTGCTCCACAGAACCCTCGCTGGTGGGCATGGGGAAGAAGGGGCCCAAAAACACTCCACCCAGACAGGCTCCTTCCAAGTGGCCTGGCCTAGCCCAGTACCGCGGCGGGAGGACTGAGTATGGAAGATGCCCACTTCACGGAGCGGCGGGGTGACCTTCCCACAGCTCTCCTGCTCATATTTCAAATGCGAGCATCTAGTTGTGCTCCCTGGGGAGCTAAGCTGTCCTCCTACATGAAGGGTTTCTGAGTGGCTGTGGTCGGAGGTCTCCAGATAAGCACCCCTCCGTGCTAAGGACACAGGGGAGGTCAATACAGGGGCTAGTGGTGCCCTGGAAACCTCACGGCTGCGATCTCCAAGGCCCAGCACTGCCCACCCTGCACACAGATGCTCCCGCCTGGAGCCCACGTGCCTCGCTCAGTTCCAGGAAGGCCTGGCGGGTCATCCGGCCAGCTTGCCTCTCAGAGCCTCAGTTTCTCATCCGTACTGTGGAGTTAGCAACCCCTTCCTGGCAGGGCGGTGCTGGGGACCGTGAGAGCGTGTGTGGAAAGCGCTGGCTGGGGGGACCCCCGGCTCCCGCCCCCAGCTCCCCTGCCTGGGCTCCTTTGTGCTCACCGTCCCCCCTCCCAGACCCTGCTCAGACGTCCCCTGAGAACAGACGGTCCCCGTGGTGTCTGGTGGGGACAATGAGAGGGAGAGCTGGAGACTTGGGAGGACTCTTCTATCCCCAGGCCACTGGGTAGGGGCAGGAGGAGCTGCTCAATCACATACTCACATACTGTTGCTTCTTATCGGACAGTAATCTGGCCATCTCCTCCCTTTCCCTTTTAATTTCTTTCTCATCATAGTAAAATTCACGAACAGTGAACCTTAAAACAAGCAAACCATGGGCTTTCACTCAGCAGCTTTCCAGAGGGGCAGAGACGCCCCGCAGCAGGAGATGAACGAAACCCGGAGGACACTTACTTGTTTTCTTTGGCCTTGGTTTTGAAGTCTTCGATCACTTTTCGAAACAGAGTCACAGTGAAAAGGCCCCCCTCCTTGTCCTCAGTAATGAGTCTGTTGGAGAGAAGCATCTGTTGGCTGGACTCACTGCCAGGCCCTGTGTGGGACTGGGGCTCAGAGGTCCCCGGGGCCTAGTGGCCTGCACTTGGGGTCCCTGGCAGCAGTCGAGGGCTGGGGAACCAAGGACACTCCCTGAGATTTCCTAACCCCTGGCTGCCTGCCCTTCCCTCATGCCCCTTCCACACTCCTCCAGGCTAAGGCCTCAGCGGGGCTCGGGGTGCAGGCAGTGCAGGGGCCTGGGCTTCAGCGCCCGCTTATCAAATGCCTGAGAGACCAAACCCCCCTGGGCCGCCGTCACCTCAGCTGGCACGGGGTGTCCCTGGCTCTGATGTGCCGCCTGATAGTGAAGCGGAGTGGTGGAAACTATCTCACAAGGTCCATTTCACTTGCAATGTCACAAAGTCCTAACGGAACACTGCCTCCCAAGCACGTCTCAACCCAGGACCACTGGGGCCACTGTCTCCAGCAACTCAGGAATTCTTGGGACCAGCAGTCTAAGCATCTCTGAGTCCTATTGGCCAGAAGACCGGAAGTGGGAGCCCTCAGGGCCAGACACTATCTTACAGCATGCTAGCAGGGTCACCCTTTCTGTTTCTCACAGCCCCTGCCCATAGGGGCTGCCCCCAGGGTCCAGGTATTTCTAGAGTCATCTGTGCAGGCTTTCAGGTGGCTGGTGACAATGAAGGGCCTGAGGCTCTGGTCTGGGAGGCCAGGCCACCTACCAAGGCAGCCGGTCCTGGCATGGATCCCCGGTGCTTGGTATTTAAGAGCAGTGAATGCTCCTGCCAGCACACCAGCTTCCAGGGCCAGCTCCTCTGCTCCGGAGCCTTACTCCTCTTCCCTGCCTCCCCTGTAACCTCAGGCTGTGATTGTCCTGTTCCTTGCACCTTTCAATTTAGATCCCGATGATTGCCATCTCCTGGCCCTGGGAGAGCCCCTTCCCCCAGCAGGGGCCCCAGGGCAAAGGCCTCACACCAGGAGCTCTGTATGTGAGGAGTCAGATGAATAGGCTGGCTGCCTGACGAGCATTCTAAAAACCTCTTCAAATTACAAAACATCTCAGCCATACAAAAAGGTATAGAGGAAAATGAGTACCATGCTGGGCATGGTGGCTCACACCTGTAATCCCAGCACTTTAGGAGGCTGAGGCAGGCGGATCACCTGAGGTCAGGAGTTCGAGACCAGCCTGACCAACATGGTGAAACCCCACCTCTACCAAAAATATAAAAATTAGCTGGCTGTGTTGGTGCACGTCTATAATCCCAGTTACTTGAGAGGCTGAGGTAGGAGAGTTGCTTAAACCCGGGAGGCCGGAGGTTGCAGTGAGCTGAGCTCGTGCCACTACACTCCAGCCTGGGCAACAGAGTGAGCCTCCGTCTCAAAAAAAAAA